CCTAACACCGTCGCCGAACCCTGCGACAGTGGTTGTGATATAGCCGCTGCCGTGGAATTCGTCAGTGCATCCCAAAGGAAGATTGGATTCTTCTTCGAGAGTGAACGTAGACCGGTAGATGCTGCTACTGCGAACGTGCTGCTTTGCGAAATCGATGCGCTGACAGCACTTGTGGCGGGTGCGCAATGCCCAACCTGCCGCGAACGGAAGCTCGGCGTGCGAGAGGCAGCTGGAAAGCGCAAAGGACTTTCGGCATTCCTCGAATTGTGCTGTCAAAATTCTGATTGCCCTGAATCTGCACTTTCGTTCACGCACACGTCGAAACGTACTGCTTCGGCCGGGACCAAGGAACGAGCGCTCGTTTTGACAGCGGCAGCTTGCGTGACAGCTTTGCTGTAAACGTGAAGGCAGTTCTGGCAGCACGCGCTATAGGCGCAGGCCACGACCAACTTTCACTATTTTGTGCGATTCTCGGTCTTGCGAGCCCGATGCATCACAAGACATTCAACGGCATTTGCAAGAAGCTCCATGGTGCGGCGATGACGGCAGTGAGCAAAAACTTGCACCAGGCACGAAACATCACGAAGGACGCAGTCGGCGGCAGAGATGTGCCAGTCATGTTTGATGGCACCTGGCAGAAAAGAGGTCATAAAAGCCACAATGGAGTGGGCACAGTCGTGTCCCTGGACACGGGGCTCTGCCTCGATTTTGAAGTTCTTTCGAACTACTGCCATGCTTGCAGTATACACAGGGACCTTGGGGAGGATGAAGAGATATGGCGAGCTTTTCATCTTCCAGTTTGCCAAAAAAACACTGACTGCTCATCCCATGCAATGGAACCTGCGGCAGCTGTCAATATATGGTAGAGGACCTTGTCTTATGAAACTCCACTGCGATTCACCAGCTTCCTAAGTGATGGTGACAGCAAGGCCTACACTGCAGTCTGTGAGGCAAATGTATACTGTGACACCCCCATTGACAAAGAAGAGTGCACGAACCACGTTGCAAAGCGCTTGGGAACTGCCCTACGGAAATTGGCAACGCCACTGCCACGAGGCGAAAAACTGAAAGATGCGACTATAATAAAACTACAAACATATTACAAGATCGCCATCACCAGCAACAAGGACAGTGTCCGAAATATGTACACTGCCATATGGGCATCGTATTTTCATTGCTGCTCCAGTGATGGTGCCAGTAGCCACAACTTTTGCCCCGCGGGACCAAATTCAAATTCGTGGTGCAAGCACAAGCGTGCGGAAGCACTGGGGGAGCCTGCACCATGCCACACCCCACTGTTGACGAAGGCTCAAGGATTGGCAATTATGCCTATCTACAAGCGCCTTACAGAGGAGAAACTCCTGATTTGGTGCCTTCATGGCAAGACACAGAATGCAGCCGAATCGCTGAACAGCAAGATATAGCTGCTATGTCCAAAAACAATGTTCGCCTCCAGAACAACTGTGGAGACAGCCACCGCTCTTGCTGTACTCTGGTACAACAAAGGCCACAGGGGCTTTGAAGAAGTGCTCGAAGGCATTGGAATTCTCCCCTCACAAGATCTGGCCACACATGGTGACCACTGTGACGTCATGCGCATCAGGAAGATGAACCTGAAGCAAACTGCAGAAGCGAGGGCACACCGTTGCAACACAGCGAAGAGAGCTCGTGTTGAGGACACTGACCGCAAGAGCCGTGAAGGACCAAGCTATGGTGCAGGGGACTTCTAGACACTTGCAGTGCATTCAAGACAAGGTACTTTTCATTGTGCCCCAATTTGATGCAAAAAGAATAATTTCCTAATAAATGCCAACTTTGCGAACTTTCAAACTTGTTTTTCTCATTTTCATTTTTTCTGACAGTTTCAGGTTTTCCGGGCAGCCTTTTAGAAACTTATATTCATTGTATAGTAACGAAACTTGGCACACATATTCTTCAACACATGCAGAATGCAAATATCTACTCTAAATTGCAATGCCTACCAGCATTAGTTGTGAAAATATTAGCTTATTGTTTCAAGGGAGATTAAAAATAATAAGTCATTCAATACAATTTTTTTTTCTTGGTTCCAATATTTCTGTGACATATCTATATAGATATTTGCACTTTTCAATCTACCAAGAGTCAAATAAGATCAGACACAGTGCTTTTACTGAAAGTTTAGTACATAAAAGAGTGCCCGCAAAAAATGTAACTTTTTGCTATTGTTTATGGCATAACTCAATAAATATAGCAGCTACACAAAAAATGATTGCATATTTGAAATCTGCATGAAAAACTATACTAATAACAAACTTTTGAAGTCTCTATTACTAGAAATAAAAAAAAAAACTTTTTCGAGGAGCGTCTCCCCTTAAGAGATGGCGTGCGCTATCATCATCAGTTTCTGGAAAGAGCAGATGACATTATTGTAGCAGTTTTCGGGGTGAGATAATTACATGAGGAAAAAAAGAAATCGTATTTTTGTTGGGCGATGTGGGGGGTGCGAGAATTATGCGAGTGCGAGGATTACGCGAGTAAATACTGTATTATAGCGTGAACTCCTTGCGTTAGCATGCATCGCTCACTAAAATATAGTCTGACGCCATTCAAAAAACAAAACCAGCAAAGCGCTATACAAGCTGCGCCATCTATGGTCTCATGATCAAAGCTCTGAATGGGCACAGAGTCGGACGTGGCAACGTGACAGCCTGTAAAAAAAACCAGTTTCGATGCCAACCAGTTTCGACTCCATCTTGGATAGATGTGGGATGGGGTTAGAGTTGGCTCTGACGCATATTGTAGTAAGTTTTGGTTTGAGTTCGTAGCAGACTGGTATGTATGGTATTAGTTAATTTTGAGGGCACTGACGTGAATTTCGTGTTTGCTTCATCCGTTCTTTCTATAAAGTGTGTTTGTTTTGCCTCACCTGTCTCTCTATGCAATCTCTTGCAAGTGCTTCTGTGATTAATCATGACACAATTGAAAGAGGCTACGCAACCTACATTTTTTTTTCTTTTTGCATTACCGCATTTTTGCTCATCCCAAAAAAGTTTTCATGAAATTGGCTTCACATGATGAACACACCCCCAACGTTGCTCCGATTTCTGAAGAAAAAAAATTGTCCCCGTATTTTCATGTTAATCTGCAAATGTCGTCGAAAAACGTTAGTCTTGCATGTGGAGAGAGTAAATAAAACATTTATTTATTGTTCTGCGCAAGGAAATCTGTGAATGATATTCTGGAGGCGCTGCGTTAGAGTGCCTCGAGTGTGCAGCGGAGGCGAAGGAGCGCATGAAGTCACGTCACACGTGAGACATGATCGCCATTTGGCAGTTTTTTTTTTTTTTTTTTTGGAAAACAAAGCGCCTGGCTCTGAGACGGGTGTGCGCGCCTGTCTCAGAGGTGATAAGGTGTAGAACACAAGGCGACGGGTAGGCGCCACCACCGTCTCGTTTTAGCAAAGCATTGGGAACACTCGCCTTTTCGTTCAAGCGTTGCATGGTCAGTGCAGCGTGATAAGCGCTACGGTCCTTAAAATTACTTATGTATGCCTTTTCTAGGAAAAGACGCACATGCAGAATATATACGTGTCGTTATGGGGCCTCAGACATGCACAATAATTGCTTTTTAATCGACAATTGCACAAGTATGAACGCCGAGTCTTGAGCAACATTGATGGGTGCTGTGGATGGGGTCAGCCATTCCAAGTACCCGATGCTGTTAGGAGTGGACAAACAGACAAATAGACAGATAGACCAAAATTTTTGCGTCGAAGGTCCCCAAGAAAGACTGTCATCTTTAAAGTAGTGCATTCATCGCACGAGCAAGTGTGGTGCTACTGCATTTATGCACGCTGTGCAACTGAGGCATTGTCTTTGTTTTTGATGCTGCCGCTGCTGCCCTCACTCTTTCACCGATTTTTGTGTCCCAATGGGAATTCATTGTTACATTGGAGCTCCTAAAGTTTACGTCAAAGCCGTTTGTTGGAGTATTTGCGTTACGTATAGTTAGATGCAACTTCAAGAGGCCCTGCAAAATTTTTCCAGGTAGCCTTGGAATGGACACAGTAAAAAAGCGCTTATTTCGCTAGAATAGACCGCCGCAGAAATTCTTGGAATTCGTCTGGCACGTGCGGAGTTGCAAAGATTTGTCGCACTCTGTGACTGCTTTCTCTTCTCTCATCTCGAAGCGATATATCCGGAGCCCTTCATTGTGGCGTCTTTCATAGTCATGTGGTGGTTTTGGGACGTTAAACCCCGCATATCTATCTATTTCATCCCGAAGCGCTGGAAGCTAGGCAGAGAGTGAAGGTACGTTGCGCGTGCCTTGTGGCCTTGAGCACTTTTCTCTTTTTTAATTTCTTCATTCAGTGCCTAGCTTTTTAGTGCCATCTCGCGTAAACTCGGTACTCTCACACCGCGGCCCCAGTAACTCCCAAGCATGCTATGCTCAAAGCAGCCATTGGCATGATATTAAAAACCATTGGCATGATATTACACAATCATTTTCAAGTATGTAGTATGATTTTTCAAGGGAAAGCAATTTTTGGCTGACTTATAAGAATTCATTGCAAATTCCAGGCCACTTGCTGTGCTGTAATATAATTAGTAATAATTATTAATTTATATAATATAATTTGGCTCGCATGTTGTTGTGAACCTCGACATTTAATCAACAGTGCTTTCTGATCTTGCTCAAAACGTGTTGAAGGGCCTCTCTAAGAAGTCTGAAAAGGCAACTTGCTTGGGTGACTAGGTGCTGTTGAGGCACGGCATCCAATCACCTCCGCAACTGAAACAAAGTCTCGCACATGCCCTCATTTACGTTTTTGTCGGGTCTGAGCCATCTGGAGAGCGTGCTTGATGCCGCCGTCTTCTAAACATGTGTTCACTATAAAATATGTTCGCTGCTGTTTCTCTGTCTTGGTGTCTGTTCATGGTCGTTTTTTGTTTGTTCTATTTCTCTTTCTTTGCGATTTTCTGGCCCGTATAACTGTTCGTATTCTACTGCTGCTGCAGGAGGAAGAGGAGGAAGAAGCAGCAGCTCTCCGGGTGGAAGAGCCAGTGTCCACCACTGTTCTTGTGACGCCCGCCACGAGTACGCTCATTCTTGTTTGCCCCGGGAACAGCAGCAGCCAACCCAGCTGAGGTTGCACGGGGCGGTGCTAGAGTTGGCTAGGGAAGACGACACTGTTGCCAAGGCCAGATGCAGCACTTCCTCAAGGCATTGGTTCTTTTTTCGAACGGTGTCAGCCAGGTCGTTTTGTTGCGGCAGGCCTTCAGCCAACTTCCTCGAGCGTGCCGCCACTGAAGACACGAGTGTTGCTGGGGCACTGTGGAGCCTCAAGCTGCAGAGTGGCTGCTGCCTCACTGTTGAGTGGTTGTTGTGTGAGGTTGAGCATGAAAAAAAGCCTCGCCCATGGCTAGTCGCTGTGATCAAATGCGGCAGGTTACCGGCACAGAGGTCATTTGTCGATGCATCATTAATGTAGGCGTTGCATTCCTGGCAGTTGCAGTGGCAAATCACCTGGATGAGTACTGTGCTTGCAAAAAATCGCCAGAAGAACTCTGAAACTGTTGTGTTATATAAGCCTTGGTGGCGGTGTAGTGGGAGATTTCGGGTGGTTTGTCTCACACGCCAACACGTGTTATGCACAAATAAACAGCACGCCGAGAGTGGGAGGTGTCCTTAGATGTTACAAAAGTATGTTTATTTGTTGTAAAAGATGAGCTTGCAGACTTGTTTCCACACTGGCATTACGGAAAGCATTTTGTATTGGGGAGTGTCTCTTGGCAGCTGATGACACAATGGTCTTGGTTCTGTTGGAAACTCTGTCCTGTCATCACCTCGTGATGCACTCACAGTGTCTGTGCTTGGGGAGCTTCAGTGGACTGCCCCATTCGATTCTCCTGCAATGGCAAACAAGTGGTCTGGAGTCTCCCACCTTGTCTTAAGGCTCAGTGAGGCTGCCTTCCTTAAAGGTGAAGCAAAGTGCCTCAGCATGGTCTTGCACGTGTCGTCTGCTACCAACATCTGGCGAGCAGCACTGTCTGCAGCGAATTATCTTTTGTCTCGTGTCACACACTGTTATGGTGCAGGAGCACTGTAGAGTGAAGCCGTGCGTTGAGGGGTGACCGCTGTGCCTTGCTGGCCACCACGCCTTGATCAACGGTGTGTGAGTCTTGGCTGTTCAGAGAACACTGGTAAACAGCTGGCAGCAACTTTGAGTTGCTGCAACGTAATAGTCAAGTGGGCCTTCCGTGCCATGTATACATGTGGTTCGCGGAAGGCCTTGCTCTGCTATATACTCTGTAAATGCATTTCTGGCTTTCGTATGTTTCTTGACTTGCTTTTTTTTTTGTGATAACCTCTTTTTATGCTGTCCCTACTTTTTAGAGGCTTTTTTTTTTTTGCACTTCTCATGGTCAGGGTCAAGTATTCTTCATCTGCATTATTGCTTTCGTACTTTTAAGGAAAGAAGGAAGGATCAATAGTTTGTTTCAGGGAAAGGTGAACCATTGCTTTACCTAAGGTCATCGCGTGTAGGAAGGAATGACCAGCGATTCGGCACTAAGTGATGTTTCTGAATAATCTACTGTGTGTGTAATCAAAAGGCATTTCATGGGAGATGTCTAACTGCGCAGTTTGCACCATCTGCTGAAGTGTCTAGTGCACCTGCTTTCATTTTTTTTTTTTTTTCTTGACCTTTCATCACTTTGACAGTCTAGGGACATGCGTGAAAAAAAATTGCCGAGCCTGCATGGCGCGACTATTTCACAGGAGTGAGCACGTCTCAACCTATGCAAATAAGGTTCTCTCTACTATAGTTAGACTCTAGGCACAGCATTTTTGTGCTGGCCATAACCTGTTCCTTCTGGTCAGCGCCCTGCAGGCTGACATAAACAAAAGAAAAGCTACTGATGTCACAGTCTACTTGCATTATTTTGTTTGCCCAGTATCAAAGTAATGTGACTCTATAATTGAGGGGTTAATGTGTTTTTCGTGTTAAACTGTTTCGTTTTGTTCATTCTTGCGTTGTACATAGGCTGCTAAACTTTATTTTGTGTGTTCCCCACTGGAGGCCATGCCAGGTTAGTGCAAGTTCCTTTACAGTGCCGTGTTATGGATTAGGTGTGGCAGTGTCCACGTGCCACCCGCGGGCACGCAGTGCTTTTTTTTTTTTTTGTGCGTGTATATCTTTTAGGACTACCTGAGACGGTAGTGCATACACCGTTGAGCCTTCTGCATTTGGTGTGCTGTTTATCTTGTTGTGACCATCCATTGTTGTTTTTTTCTTTGTTTTTTCAAAGCCTAGTTAAGCCAAAGTTGTTTTGCTCCTTTGAACAATGAGCAGTGCACCTTAACTGCACTGACGATTTCCACCACGATACATGCCACAATATTTCGGGTTTGCAGGGGATGCTGTGAGACCTTCGCACATACACGCTTACAGTGACATCTTTCGAATGAATGTTCATTAATTGTCCTAGAAGCTCTAATTAGCCTTAAGTAGCCAACATGAGCGAGCCTAGGTTGGAATTGACTCGGTGTTCAGTCCCTGCGAAGAGGACTCTGTTCAGCCACCCCACACGTACGACATTCCGTTCACTGCTAGGTCGTTCTGCTAGCTATTTTTGCACTGCACCTACTGTTTTACCTTGGGCATACAAGGCTTTGGGCAGAAATATGTGCTTTCCGTGCTTGTGTCTGTCAACACTGTGTGCAACATGCTGCCAGTGCAGCCAGCACTCGCAGAGCCCAGTGTTGCAAGTCCTCTGGCTGGATGCCACGATCTCTGCCAACACTGCCACTAAGTCAGCACTGCATGCCTGGTTTCCTTGTGGTGCATTTGTATGCGTGCGTGTGTGTGCATTCGTGAGAAGGATTTCTTCCGCCGGTTCGTCCGCCTTTCTTTTGCCGTCATCGGTGGAACTGCGTCGCAGGATGCTCACAGCGATGTGAACTGTGTGGCTAGTGTGTGCGAGACGTTTCGTCGTGCCGTTGTGAGCGTGCCCTGCGATCCAACCCTTGTGCCCTCACTACACCCGTTTCATATACCCCTTTCTCACCCCAGCCCTGCCTTGAACTTGTATTTAATGATTTGTACATAAAACCTTGCAGTGACGTCTGGACAGACGGGGCCAGGTGCAGGAGTCAGAAACTGTTTTTACCGAACCCCTGTTTATACGTCGCTGATAAAGCAGCTTTGTTGCTTGAAGTCGTGGGAGGAGGTCGTTTGTTGTGTTCGCCATTCGAGTTAAGACTTACTCGATGACGTGAATAAACGCTTATATATCGCAACAGCATTTCAACTCTTCTCCTTATAGGCTGCCATGCACCTACACTATACACGCCTATGTCGGGAAATTAAAAAGAGATTGAATGTGGCCTCCGGCAATTTTAGAACATTTTGTTTAACCTCTTATTACCAGATGTCATTCTCGTAAATATTGAGCACACTACTGTCGGCTTGCAGTGGGGGGAATCTCGGTGTTGTTTTCATTACAATGGCCTTCTTGTTTAATGTGTATTTCCCTGTGCTTTAACCGTAGCTCGGCATACTCACTCATCAGTACACTTACTTAAGGGGGGACGCGGCACTTCGGGACCGAAAATCAGCCAAAAAATCGAGTTTTCGCGGACCTTCTTTTCGCGTTCCCGACATCATTGCGCACCTATTTACAAAATTTCATAGCCGAATACCATCAACTTTTATCGTTATTCAACTTTAAAAAACCGAAAACGGGCGTCCTGCCCTTTAAATTGAGGGCGAATAGCGCAGGTTTCGGCTCTACGATACGCGGGAACTACGCGCTCAATCGGCGCCATTTTGGTCTTGTTTGAAAGAACGCGTTTTCAGCTGTTTTTTTTTTTTATTCAGTAAGCAACATTGAGCGTTTCCCCGGCTCGAAAAACGGGGCCTCAAAGACGAAGAGCCGCGCTCACTGCCATTGGCTAAACGGCGCACGTGACTGAAATGGCGCTTTCCGGTTGGCTGGAAGCTCGCGGCTTGCGCCTGCATACGCGACCCGACGCCATTTTAAAAGGGTTACCGCTGTGACGCCTCGAAATCGGCAGAGCACTCTGAAGCTTCTGAAGTATCGCCATGCCTGGAAACGCAAAAAAGTATCAGACCGTGCACGCATTTGGTCGCAGGAAACGCAAAGGTCGTGGGAGAAAGTCTACGAAGTCATCAGAGCCCTTGGTTGACTTCGACGAACGATGTGTCGACGCTCCGCGGCCGTTCAGCGATGGTGCGACCGAGCGCGTTGCCTCCGACGACGATGACGGTGAAGCGAACTCCGGACGACTACGAATCGACGCCAAGGTGGTGACAAACGCCGAAGTTGAAGAAAATCATGCCCGGGAGAAAGCGACGCTCGACCAGCTTTCATCGGCGCCAGCAACTGCACGGAAAATTGACTTTTTCACCGCGAGTTGTAGCGAGGCAACCGCACAGGACTCGGACCACGCTGCTCCTTATCTGCTTATGCATCTAGATATCCTAAACGCGATAATGGGTGCCTTGTGTTGCAAAGCCTGCCACGGACCGGCTACGATCGTCAGAGGGGAACGGGACTACGGACTTGCCGTGAAAGTGCTAGTGCAGTGTGAAAGGTGCGGCGAGATCGCGAATGAATGGACTTCGCCCCGCGCGAACGGCACGAAAACGTGCAATCCGTTTGAAGTAAATCTTCTCGCTTCGAGGGCGATGGTGGCTACCGGCAACGGCCAAACGAAAATGAACGATATTTTCGCAACAATGGGCATCTCAGACCGCGGTATGCACCACAAGACGTTTCAGCGGCATTTGAAGAACACGCTGGCACCCGCTGCAACGCGAGCGGCTGAGTCCGCTATGAGCGAATGTGCGGAAAAGGTTAGAACAATTTATGATGACTTGTGCTTCGGCCACCGAGGCAATATTGCCGTTAGCTACGACGGCACGTGGAAGACGCGAGGCCATTCTTCCCACATCGGCGTGGGCACAGTTATCGAATTATTTAGTGGCTACGTGTTGGACTACATCGTTCTTTCCAACTTTTGCCTAAGCTGCGAGGTGGGCCCAAAGCCTAATAGTGAGGGCTATCAAGAATGGAAGGCTAACCACAAATGCCAAAAAATACGAACAGCAAAGCGGGGCAAATGGAAGTGGAGGCGGCTCTAATTCTATTTCAGAGGTCGCTTGAACGCCATGGCCTGCGCTACACAACTATGCTGTCTGATGGAGACTCTAGGACATTTTGCGCCATACAAGACGCCAAGGTGTATGGTTACATTGACGGGCAGAAGGAAGACTGTATTAATCATGTACAGAAACGGATGGGCACCGCATTGAGAAACCTGGTGCAGAAACAAAAGTGCGATGGGAAAAGAGGCCTTGGTGGGAAAGGCAGGCTCACAGGTGAGCTGATCACCAGGCTGAGCACATATTATGGCCGGGCTCTGAAATCGCATGAAGGTGACGTGGGCGAGATGCAAAAGGCTGTGATGGCCACATACCGCCACGTCACCTCCACTGATGAATGCTCGGACCACAGTCTGTGCCCAGCTGGTGAAACTTCATGGTGTCGGCACAATGCCGCAAAAGCAAAGGGTGAGCCCGACCCCAGGCATGCCTACAATCTACCGAAAGACGTGGCAGAGGCATTACTACCGGTTTATACCCGGCTTTCGGAAAGAGCCCTGCTTCAGAGGTGCGAATGCGGCAAAACACAGAACTCCAACGAGAGCCTACATTCAGTAATCTGGAGTTTGGCCCCCAAGGAGCACCATGCGTCCCTGATCGCTGTTGAAGCAGCTGTTGCAGAAGCAGTGCTGCGCTTCAACACGGGCAATTTGAATTCTGCAACGGCAATCTTAGGTGAAATGGACATGAATGCGACAAGTACTGGTGCCAGGAGAGCGAGAGAAAAAGACCACCGTCGCAGCATTGTCTCCAACAAGAAAAGAACAGCCTCATTGGAACTCCGGAAGCTAGTGAAGAGGAGGCATGAGCACGGAATGCATTCAGACTATGCTTCTGGTGCGTTTTGAGGTTGTCTTGTTGCATCTTCTGCAATAAAAATGTGTGCCCACGTTTTTTCTCGATTTCTCAAAACGACAATTTTCATGTGCTTCCCATTATGCCGGAGCAATATCTCTTGTTCTGTCTGGGTTATCATTACGATTCCTTTTTTGTTTCGAAGATAAATGCAGGGGATGTGTCGTAAAGTAAGTTTTATTGTAATAATTTTTGGAGAAAATTCTCTAAATGGATCTTTTGTTTCAAGTGTAGATGGGGAAATTTTTCATGTCATATTCAACATCCCACAACTTTGCTTCGAAATAGCCCAGAACAATGATTTATACTTTATTGCACACTGTGAACATACCGAATTGGTTCTATGGGTTGCACATCAATATCCAAGTTACAGTTAATTAGCTAATTAGGCCTTAATTGAAAAAGTCGCAGTTCATTATACCTTTAAAACTAATTGTCACAGCCAAAAAAGAATTAGGTTTTTGAAATCAGCAGTAAAATCTACATAGGCTTTCCAAATTTGACTGAGGTACTCGCAAAAATAAAAGAGTTTTTGGAAGGTGTAGCATCCCCCCTTAAACTCTTTTGAAGATGGCGAGTGTGGTAAAGTGTGCACTCATGCGAGTACTCGCGAGTATGACGTGAGTCAGTACTCATGAGTGTAAACGTGAGTGAGCACTCATAGGGTGAGTAGGGTGATTATGAATACGAGTGACCATGACCACTTGTGAGTGTATGAACGAGAACGGGTACTTGTGAGTATGATCATAGGTATGAACGTGAGTGAGCATTCAGTGTGGGTAGGTGTGATTGTGAATTTGAGCACTCATGAGTGTGAGTAGAAGTGAGTATGAACGTGAGCGAGTACTCATGAGTGTGTGAACGTGAGAGCACTCATCAGCATGAGTACAAACGTGAGCGAGTACTCGTGAGTGAAAGTATGAACGTCTATGAGTGCGAGTAGACATGAGTGTGAACGTGAGTAGGCACTCATGGGTGTGAGTAAACATGAGTATTAATTAGAGTGAGCACTCATGAGTGTGAGTAGAAGGCATAAATGTGAGTGATTACTCATTGGTGCGAGTGGAAGTGATACGAGTGTGAGTGAGAACCCATCAGTGTGCGTTGGTGACAATATGAACTTGAGTACTCATGAGTGAGAGTGGTCGCGAGTATGAATGCGACTGAGCACTCATGAGTATGAATTGTCAGAGAGTCAAAATAAAGCCCGGAAGTGCCTTAATTTTTGTTCATTTAACTTATTGCGGTGTGTTTTGTGGACAGTTCCCTCTGCGTGTTCGGCCAGCACGTTCGAAAAAACCTCCTTTCTTATGTCATACATGTGCCGCTACAGTCTGCTAAGCTACTTCTCTCGCCAAGGTAACTTCTACCACACTATGCACCACCCCCACTCTCCTCCCAGGTGTCTGTGCCTATGCGTGTGCTTGACCATACGGGTTTCCGTCCACCAGTGGTGTAGCCAGAGAGTGGCACACGAAGCTCGTGTCAACCCTGCCCCCGGAATTTTTTTTCATGGCATATAGCGCACTGCTAGGAGGACGTGAGCTACTTGGCACTGCTCCAACACCTGCGGTAAGGGGAGTGGTGCAGACAGAGGGACAGCGTTACGCAGGCTAGTCAAAGAGCTGCTTCGCATCTAATGTGATCCAAAGATGCGAGATGGCAATATTTGAAGTGTTTGCTAGCTGGACGGATGGACAGACAAGCAGATGGACTGTCAGATGCACAAACGGTAGCTCGGACAGACGGAAGCATGGACGCTTTGCTCCACTCATCATTATTCACTCCTTGGATATGTTGGGATTTCTTGTGTCATTATTTCGCACTCAAACCTATTTCAGGACGCACTTTAAGCACAGTGAGCATAACAGGAGAAGTGCTGCAACAGTCCCATGCCGTATTAACGCAATATAATTAAAGAGCTCGTTGGGCAGAAATTCTGGCGTCGGTGTCGACTTGGGCGTCGTTGGTTGTGAGTAAAAAATCATCTAGTGCGTGACCGAAAAAGTTGAAAAAGACGCAAAATGAATAATAAAAATTTCCAGTTGTCACACATGTCCCGTTTATTGGGAGGCGATCGCCGGGCTAATTCCAAGGCCCGAAGTATTGGCCCTCCGAACCGCACCACGAAAGCGTGGACAATTTAGAAGTGGTCCTTATTGGCGCGCCAGCAGACGCTGGCTATGGCCCAAAGAACAAGTCAGAGCCGAGAGTTGATAAACAAACAAGATTATATTCTCAATACTGGCAGATCAGAAAAAC